GGTAATAAAATCTTTTAAAAAAATGGAATTTCTAGTGATTTGTCATTACTTCTTTAAATGTTTCTCTCTTGTTTGAATTTTCTGTCATCAGAACATATCATTCTTATAATCAGACTATTCTTTTTTTTAAAGATTTATTTTTATTTATTTATGAGAGAGAGAGAGAGAGAGAGAGGCAGAGACACAGGCAGAAGGAGAAGCAGGCTCCATGCCGGGAGCCGGACGCGGGACTCGATCCCGGGACTCCAGGATCCGCCCTGGGCCAAAAGCAGGCGCGAAACCGCTGAGCCACCCAGGGATCCCCCATAATCAGACTATTCAATAAAGCTCACTGCATTGTGTGTGTGTGGGTTTTTTTAAGATTTTATTTATTTTTTCATGAGAGACACACAGAGAGGCAGAGACACAGGCAGAGGGAAAAGCAGGCTCCATGCAGGGAGCCCAATGTGGGACTTGATCCCAGGTCTCCAGGATCATGCCCTGGGCCGAAGGCAGATGCCCAACCGCTGGAGCCACCCAGGCTGCCCGCTCACTGCATTTTGATTAAAAAAAAAAAATAGCACTTAACTGAACATCTATTATACAGCCTAGAAACTTTTCATTATCATATTTATTCCTTACCCCAACCCAGCAAGGAAGACATTACTCAATCATTTTACAGGAAGTCAGACAACTCGAGGCTTAGAAAGGTTAAGCAACTTATGCTGGACATATCAGGATGTGAACACAGTTCGGGCTGACACACAGAGCTCTCTTGATAATGCTGCCCTGTTACTGATAACTAAGATTCCACTGATATTTAATAATATATGCCTCTTATTATGTGCCTAGGAAGTGTGGGCATTTGATGGACTCCAAAAACAGCACAGGGTTTTGCTATTAACCCTCTCACTGAGGTGCAAGAGCTTGCTGAGGGTACTAAGTGCTAACCCAGGTTTATCCAGCTCCAAAACCTCCCTGCTCCATTTCACCACATTTCTTGCTGGTCTGGTAGCATATGGTCTTCACCTTGAGGTACTATCTGCCCTGGGGTCTTTGCTCCTACCTAGGTCCTGACTTCTATCTCCATCTTGTTGTTCTCTGGTTTGATTGTGCGTACATACAGATTACCCATTTCACCAAGATGCAAATGTTTACTTTCACGGTGGAGTAATGAAGCAAGAATGCTTTGAAATCTCAGTTGATCTGCTTAACTTTATCATCCAGCTCAGAAGCCTTCAGGGTCTCCCCTGGCAGAGTACAACCACGGCTGCAGTGCTCCTTCAGTCTGGCTCTCCTCTGCTGGGCCTCTGGGCTCCCTCCATCCGTCCTCCTCACCACACCCCTACTGCTTGTGAGCCCAGTGTCCACCAAAAGTGGCAGTCACTAAATGCTGGCTGAAAAGCAGAAAGCTCTACAGTGTAAGAGATGGATTTCGGGGCACCGGGATGGCTCAGATGGTTAAGCGTCTGCCTTCAGTGAAGCTCATGATCTTTTTTTTTTTTTTTTTTTTTTTTAATGATAGTCACAGAGAGAGAGAGAGGCAGAGACACAGGCAGAGGGAGAAGCAGGCTCCATGCACCGGGAGCCCGACGTGGGATTCGATCCCGGGTCTCCAGGATCGCGCCCTGGGCCAAAGGCAGGCGCCAAACCGCTGCGCCACCCAGGGATCCCTGAAGCTCATGATCTAAGGTCCTAGGATGGAGCCCCGCGTTGGGCTCCCTGCTCAGCAGGGAGTCAGCTTTTCCTTCTCCCTCTGCTGCTCTCCCTGCTCATGTTCTCCCAGTATCTCTGTCTCAAATGGATAAAGAAAATCTTAAAAAAAAAAAAAAGACACTGATTTCAAGCTGGCGATTCAAGAGGGGTCTTGGAGGTTGGAGGAAATGTAACTGCGCAGAGACGTAAATGAAGGCAAGATGCTCACAGTCTGTCGCCTGGAGCCCTGCCTCTGTGCTGAGCTGCTGGCTTTACAGAGTGCTTTCACAGAGTGACTGCAATCGCTACCACTTACTGAGTGCTTGCCACAGGTCAACCACCACTGGGTGGGTTACATATACTCTATCTCCTTCATGTGTACTTTATTGATTTTGATTATTATGCTTATGATTATTCTGTCTCCACTAGTTCCATAAAGCTCTAGGAGGGCAAGGTTTTCTTCTTGTTGTGTTCCCAACAGTGCCTGGCAAATAGGTGGCTCAAGAGGTCACTAAATCCTCCCCAGAGCCCTGTGAAGAGTGACTTGTACCAAGGTGCCTGGGTGGCTCAGTCGGCTGGGCATCTGACTCTTGGTTTCAGCTCATGCCATGATCTCAGGCCAGTGTGTGGGGATAGAGTCCCTCATCACGCTCCCTGCTCAGTGGGGAGTCTGCTTCTCCCTCTCCCTCCTTCCATTCCCCCACTTGTGCTCGCTCTCATTCTCTCAAATATATAAATAAATCTTCAAAAAAAAAAAGGTATTTTATCCCCACTTTAAGCAACTTGAGGCTTAGATGCAAGAAGTGACTTTTGCAAAAGTACAGATCCAGCAAGAGGACTACACTAAAAATAGGTCCATGGACTCTCTCTCTCCATTACCTCCGCAACCATCTGGATTCAGAAGTGTCCATTCCTAGCCTTGAAGTCGGGAGTCACCACTTGCCTGCAGGATTCCTTAATCGATTCAGTGATAACAACACTGTAACAATTACCACTCACTGCATACTTGCTACATACCAGGCACTGTTGGCAGTGACTCACAACAACTTGGAAATTACTTGCTATGACCCCTTTCTGACAGTTGAGGAATCTAATGCCCGAGGGAGGTTAAGAAACTTTGCCATAATCACAAAGCTAGTAAATAGTGAGTTCAGAATTCATAATCCAGTGGTGAGGGTCCAGTGCCTACACTGTTCACCACTGCCCATGCTGCCTCAGTAAGGTGATGGACCAAGAGCGGGGGGGGGGGGGCGGGGGATGAGCCACCCCAAAGCACTCATCAAGGTCAGGGCTGGTCTGTGTGGCCTGTTAGGCATGCTCTCATGTGTGTCTTCATGTTCTCTTTTAAACCTCACAATTGCCCTGTGAAGTTATAGATGAACAAACTGGGGTCCTGAGACCCTAAAAGAGCCAGACCCAGACAGAACACAGATCAGTGGCTACCTGATGCTCTGCAGTTGGGAGCAAATGTGGAGTGGCTGCTAATGGCAATTTTTTGGGGTGATGAAAATGTTTTAAAATTGATGGTGGTGATAGTTGCACAGCTCAGTGAATACACTAAGAACCAGATAATTATACACTTTAAATGGGTGAACAGTGTGGTAAGTGAGTTATATCTTAATCTAGCCCTTTATTTCGAAAGAGAGGAGGACACACAGGAGGAAGTGGCAGTGGTGGAATTTCCACTGACTTCAGATCAAACACCCTGGAACCACTGGTACCACTGCTGCCTCTTCTAGTTTTCTCGCTTCTCACATCCCGTTAGCAGACATCAACACCTGAGGCACCCACTTCTCTCCTCTTACAGCACCTGGTCCAAGTCAGGGCTCCCCAACTTACTGCACCCTCTCCCCCTAAGCAGTCCTCTCGCCTTGCCCCTTGCGCTCTACCTCTGTTCTCTACAGAGCTGCCAGAGAGATCTGTTTAAAGCTTTCCCGTCAGATTTCCCTCTTTTGCTTAAAAGCCTCTAATGGTCTAAAAATAAAATTCACTTACAGTTCAGAGTTGGCCCCTGGCCACCTTTGCAAACTCACTGCCCACCAGCCACTCTTGCCTCCTTGCTGTCCCCAAACACATTCCCACCTCCAGTGGTTCTCTTCTCTATACTATGGTTCTTTTCCCTGGAATATTCTTCCTCCAGATACCAGACACCCACATGCTTACTCCCTAATTTCATCCTGGGCTGTGCTCAAATGTAGCACGTCACCATTACAGAGAAGCCTTCCCTGGCTTCCCAAGCTAACCCAGCTCCCACCTCCCATAGCTTGGCACTCTCACCCCTGACCTGCCTTGTTTTCCTTCAGAGCACTTCTGACCGCCCAACATACAACATAACACATACTTCTTTTTTGTTTAAGTAAACTCTACCCTCAGTATGGGGCTTGAATTCACCACCCCGAGATCAAAACGTTTTCTACTGACTGATCCAGCCAGGCGCCCCAACACATACTTCTTTGTTAACCATTTGCCTCCATCACTAGAATGTGACATTCCTGGGTACAGGGCTTCATCCTGGAACCCTAGGACTAGAACAATGCCTAGAACCCAGCAGATATTAAAAAAAGCAAATACATTAATGCCAAGGCTTTGGCTTCTCTCGTAGCCCCTCAGATAATCCAGCAAAGAGACAGATCACTGTGTTTGACACATTCTTTGCTCAAATTTGTGACCTTCTCTATACCCCGTCAGAGGGGCCACTGACAACCTTGCACTGGACTTATTTGTGAATGGCAGTAATTCCCTACCAGACTGGGAGCTCCGGAAAGGCAAGGTCCTTAGCTGGACCTTAGCACAATACCTTGAGCAGACTTGAACAGCATACTTAAATCTTTTGTTGACCAAACAAAGAGAAATTTCCAAATCAACAGCAATTTAATTTCTCTCTTCCCAAAGGCAGCAGAGGAGCCACCTTCCAGCCCACTGCATTGACAAATGCCTCAGCCCCATTCCTAGGAAACTAAGACCCTGAAATAAAGTTTAAGTGCTTCTTGGAATTTCTTGGGTAGTGAGCTGTGCCAGGGAAAGCTCCCTGCAAAATGGAATTTGCCAGCTGAGTCCAGAAAAACCTGTGTGAACAGCAGGCAAACTTAAGGCAGCACTTAGTGAAATTGCTTTCTGTTATCTCAAAGAGAAATAATAGCATATGAGGCTGGCTTAAGAAGAACATACCCAAGTGTAAATAGGGCCATGTTTCTCTCTCTCTCTCTCTCTCTCTCTCTCTCTCTCTCTCTCTCTCTCACACACACACACACACACACACACAAACACACACACACATACACAGAGCCTTTGAAGGCTCGCTATCTTCAGGCTGTGCCATGACTCTTCCTAGCCAGTTATTCTCATTCCCATTACTTTCTGGTTCCCAAATCACCAGAACGCCCCCAAGAGTTCCTTCATGCTGTTCTCTTTGTTTGGCATGCTCCTCCCTGCTTCCCAGGTGGTAGAACCATCCCCCTTTTCACAGAGCACAGCTCAAATGCTGTCTCCCTTGCAAAGCCTTGCTCTACCTCTCCTTCCTGGAGTGGCACCTCACCCCTCCCTCTGCCAGAAAACACTGTTCTTAGCTATAGGTGTCAGCACCCATCTAACCATCCAACTCATGTAAGTGCCAAACTTGGAGAAGACTACAGGACATACCTTCAGAGAACTTACTGTCTGGCAGGGGAGAGGAAAGCAAATATATATATGTAATCATAAATTGGGAAAAGGGCTAAGAGGGAAATAAGACAAGAGGATACCACAGTCAGGTGGAGGGGTGGGGGGAACCAGAAAGGATGCTTGGAGGTTTCTTAGAAGAGGTTACATTAAACTGGTACCTGATGGATGAGTAGGAGGTAGCCCACCAAAGAGTGGGGAGAAGTTTCCAGAAAGAGGACACAGCACATATGAAGGTGCCAAGGCATGAAAGCAGTTAGCATAACCAAGGAACCAAAAGGAGTGCTGTGTGGCTCCAGCCGCAAAGGGCTGGGAGAGCAGCGTGAGGAGAGGAGGCGGCATCTTGTAGGTCCTAATCACTCTGAATTGTTTCCTCGAAGAACAGTTCAGCCTGAGAACATTCTATTCCTCCCCATCTCCAGCGCAGAGCAAGACACCTGGTGCAAAACAGGCATTCAACAAGTTCCTGAGGGCTACACTGCCCCCAGAGATGTGGGTGAGCAACCTCTCTCTGCCCATTATCCGGCTCCAAAAGCAAGTCCCCAGTTGGCTCACCTAACTGAAGCACCCGGTGATGGTTAACCACAATTCGGGTGATAGAAACAGAGGTCAAAACAGAAGCAGCTGCAAGAGCTACAGTTACGTCCTTGACAAATGCTACTGACAACCCAGTTGACAGATGTGACTACCACATGGCCCTTGGAGACCAGATTCTCAGGGTAAAATTCAGAGGACAACTCTAGTACAAGCAAGCTTGCCAAAATCATACGCCCAAGACTTAAGACATTAGCGTGAAGTTCAAAATACAATTTCCAAGGTCAACTGCTCTTATTATTCAGAACTCTCTGACAACCAAATATATAGTTTTTTCCCTCAACAACCAAATCTTTGATTCTCCAGACACCAGCTGGGTGTCCTATAATTCTGACCCTACCCAGAGTCAGCACAGACTCCACAAGTAAAGGGCTCAGTCCCATGAGATTGTCCCACTGCAGATGCCAGCTCAAAGTCCCAGGTTGCCACTTGTACTTCCACCCAACTATAAACTGGCTATAACTCAAGGGTTCCTACCACCCACTCCTCAAGTTCAAGAATTGCTAGAACAGCTCATAGAACTCAGAAGAGTGTTTTAGTTACTATTATCAATTTATTATAAAGGATACAACTCAACAAGAGTCAAAGGGAAGTGACGCACAGTGCAGGGTATGGGGGAGGGGTGTGGAGCCTCCAAGCTGTCTTCGGATGTGCCATCCTCCCAGCACCCCTATGTGTGCACCAGCCTGGAAGGTCTTAGAACCCCCATCATTTAGGGGCTTCTACAGAGACTTCATTACATAGGCACAACTGATTAAATCATTGCCTGTTGGTAATTAACTCAATCCAGCTCCTCCCCCCTCCCAGGAGGTCAGCAGGTGGGGCTGAAAATTCCAACCCTCTACTCCCAAGATTTGTTGCTCTGGCCACCAGCCCCCCCCATTCAGAAGCCATCTAGGGACCCACCAAGAGTCATTCTGTAGCATAGGTTCAGGCAGAATTGAAAGGGCTTTGTTGGGAATACCAAAAGATCCTCCTATCACCTCTGTCACTCAAATTCCAAGGGTTGTAGAAGCTCTTCAGGGACAAAGACCAAACATATTTCTTATTGAACCACACAAGGTTTGTGTAGTTTTTGGATCTCTTTTGTTTTAAAGAACCCAGCAGATAAGAAGACAACTTGGTGAGTCACAGGAGTTTCCAAGTTGCCCAGCCGCCCTGCCCTATGCCTCCCTTATGAGTTAGCCTCTGGCCTATCCGGATTTCTGTCACTTTCAAGAACACACTCAGAATTTTTCAAATCACATTTTGAACTCTGGCTTTCTGGCTAATGGATTTTTTTTTTAAAGATTTTATTTATTCATTCATGAGAGACAGAGAGAGAAAGAGGCAGAGACACAGGCAGAGGGAGAAGCAGGCTCTATGCAGGGAGCCCAACGTGGGACTTGATCCCGGGACTCCGGGATCACGCCTCAGGCCGAAGGCAGTCACCAAACCGCCGAGCCACCTGGGGATCCCCTGGCTAATGGATTTTGAATTATTCGACATTAATAATTATTTAGGCTAAGCCAAGCTATGGTTTTTAACTCTTTTTGAAAGAAAGGAGGTTATGCGAACATTACATATAGTTTGAAGGCGACTTATAAAGAAACACAATTAAAAATCCTTTGCCTAAGTCACATAGGATGCTATCCTTTCCATGCGCTTTAAACTTGTTGGTTTGGTGTTGTTGTTGTTTTGTTTTGTTTTTAAGTCCTGTGCTATAATTTTTTCCTGAATAGTTCTCCTTGCTTCCCTGTAGTGAGGGTAAAAGGACTAGAGATGCCTTCCTGTGAAATTCTGCTTCAAGACCTTCACAGACTCCTTCCCTCTCCTCTCTTGCCCAGCTAATTTCTCATACTCTTTGTTTAGTTTTTAAAGATTTTATTTGAGAGAGAGAGAGTATAAGCAGGGGGAGAAACAGACTCCCCACTGAGTGAGAGCCTGATGTAGGGCTCGATCCCAAGACCCCAGGATCACAACCCAAGCCAAAGGCTGATGTTTAACCAACTAAGCCCCCCCCCTTTTTTTTTTGTTTTTTAATGAGTTCTACACCCAAAGTGGGGTCTGAACTCACAACCCTGAGATCAAGAGTCATACGCTCTACCAACTGAGCCAGCCAGGTCCCCAAATCTCTCATCCTTTAGATCTCACTGTAAATGCCATTTCTTCAGAAAGCCATTCCCTTACTTACCCACCAATCCCAAGTAGGACCCTATTAGTCTCCTATAAAATGCTACGATACCATTTCATGGTACCTGTCATAATTTGTGATTGTACACTTGTGTGCATTTTGTTAACATCCTGCCTCCTTCCTCATTAAAGTGCAAGCTCCGTGTGGGCAGGTACCAAGACAATATTGCTCACATCTCTATACCCAGTGCCCAGAACAGTGTGGCATATAGTAGGAACTTAACATGTATTTGTTAAATGGTTAGCAGCTTTACTGTAAAGGCCTAGGATTTTCTAAACATGATATGCCCAGTGGCAGCTTCTAGTTTCTTGGGATACAAACTATTCATAGTGTCTTCTGAACACAGGGCCATGTTACAACAATAACCACATTTTTAAATGACTGCTATAGTCCACAAACTTGTGGGCTGTTTCTTTAAATGCATTGCTAATCTTCACGATGGCCCTGCAAAGTGGGGATTACTACATCATTTTATAAGCAAAGACACCAAAGTTCAGAGTGGTAAATTAAATTCCTCACAGTCACCTAGCTAGAAGGCAAACACAATCAGAACTCAAACCCAGCTCAGAGGCTAGAGTCTGTGCCCCTTTTTCTCAACTCTCCAGGAGTATTGTCCAATAGGCTGAAGCATATGAGAGATCACAAGAACAACCTGTGGCCCATTTCTGGTATTTCTTTTTTTACCTGATGATAAATAGCATAAAATATTTTTTCGTTAAAAAAAAAAAGGGACACATCTTAAAGTATAATATGGAATGAACTTAAAGAAATTTTGAACCCAAAACACAAAAGTTCAAAAAAATGCCACTGCCGGCTGCCCAGGCCTATCTCAGGAACCCCCACAGAAACACATGAAAAGCCCTTGTCACCCTTTCTTCATTTTATGTCCCTTTACCTTATTGCTATTTTATTTTAATGCCAGCATCCCAACTCAGTCTTCATTGTCCACTCCCACCCTCCTTTCACTAGAAAAGTTTAAATGTTTAAAGAAAGTGGCACATGTCAGCCACTGGCATGTCATTTTCAAAAGTGTTAGTCATTTATGAGGACACCTTTTTGTAGGTACAATAAATCTGATTGGTTTTTATTACACATCTTAGTTTAGAATCACTTTTACATTCCTAGACAAAGAGATGATACAAATAAATATCAATTGTAAAACTTAGAGCCCCAAGTATTGGCATATTCTTTGTCTAAAAGTAGCCAAAGAGAAGGTCAAGCTCAATAGTAACTCCAAAGAGCCATAAAGCCCACTGCCTCCTGCCTGCCCCAGGATCACTCCTTTCATAAATAACCTCAAAAGCATTTCATTCAAAATAACAAGGGTGGGGAGAAGGTGGCAGATTTCCAAACAGTACCAGACAAAACCATGCGCAGTAGACAACAGCCAGGCCCACTGTCCTTATCCAGTTCCCTCTGAGCATTTTGATTATGGCTTTTAGAGTGTATATTAATAGCCCCATTTTCATCCACGGATGGTGTTGAGATGGCCCAAGGTGTTGTTTGCAATGAGCCTCGACTGTAAGTGGGAAATGTGAGGCAGAACTGATACCCCATGTTAACAGGGAATCAACACTTCTCAAAAACTTAGCAACAATTCTACATTCAGTGAGGGAGGACTTACAAGAGTCAGACAGGAAAAGCAGAGAGTGGCCTAGGCCTGAACTGCAGAACTCTCTGACGCCCTTGGTCATGGAGGTGTGGGTGGTACAATTCAAGCAGCATGCAGGCATTCAATGGGGAACAATCCAACATTAGGTCAGAGTCTTAAGAAAGTGCTTCATGCCTAGGATTTGTGGCCTTGGGGTCTGAATCCAGGGATCTGGGAGACAGGTGACTTTAGAATATGAAGCCAGATACATACATTCTTATTGATCAGAGCAAAAAGGGGCTCGATGAAGGTTGCACACACAGTCTCAAACTCCTTCTCCCAGCTGATCTTCTTAGAGCCTGTTCAGACTTGTTTCCAGACTTTGCTGGCTGCTCCTGCGTGAAGACCCTCAGATGGCTTGGAACATTCTAGCGTGACTACAGACATGAAAACCAGGTCGGTCCTCTACACATTTGGCTCAATTCAGAGCCCAAAGCAGCAGCTTTCTGGTAGCAGTAAGCCATGCTCCTGTCTGCTCTACTCAAATATTTATCGGATCCATTTTGAGAGAAGAAAAGCACCAGAGACTGCTTGGGGAGGGACAGCTCCACCTCCTCACAGCTGTTTATCTGCTCTCACGGACTGCTGGACGAACACAACTGTGTATAAGGCAAGCCTGTTTTAATAACCCTGCCTGCCCACTTGGCTTTCTCTTTCTGCCCTTAGAAAAGTTCCACGGTCACTCAACCACCCTTGCTCAGAATAGCCACCTTGAGACATCAGTATTAAGGTACGGTGTTATCTGCAGTGTTCAGTTCTGATTTGCTAGATGAATATTTTGAGCCTATGGAATTCAGACTAGCTTTGAGGGAATGTGGTGCAAGAGGCAGGTGTAACTGGCAGATAATCATTTCAGACTATCCACCTCATCATTTGGTTCCTGTTCAAGCAGGTAAGTTCTTAATAAATAAGAAGCAGGGTTTGATCCCAAGAAAGATGAGGGAAGGCTCCATTATGCTCTGGGAATTGCTGAAAAGGGCTCTGGGTTTCAGAAAGAATGGTAACTAAAAAGGAGATAAGCTGCCAGATGCCAGATCTCCATTTGTAGAATGCTAAGACATTGCACTTGGTACCCCCTCTATCCCATGGGTTCTGATCCAGAAATGTGCCCTGGGAACTCAGCAGCGGAGTTAAACTATAACTCAAGGCCCAACTGAGTCGCCACCTTCCTGAGGCACCGTGCCAGCAAGGTGCGCCAGTATGGCAGACCTAGGGACTCGTACTGTCCCCTCAGGCTTGGCTCATGGACTCAGACACTCACATGGGAGCACTTCTAGCCTGGATCAGTCATTCAGTGGGCCTTTAATACAGACAAAGGCAAACCTGCACATTAGTGTATTTCTAACACTGGGCAAGTCCTTGGTCTCTCTCTTCCAGACACACACAGACACTCAAAAAACACAGGCACCATTGTGCTTGCACACCCACACACTTAAGAGTTTCTCTAGGGGAGGAAAAGTGAGCAACATTCACCTAACGACCAACATAAAATGAAGCTCTGAATTTCAATAATACAAAGAACTAAAACTTATGAACCAAACTAGTGTATGTAAATGGGAATTCCTAACTCTCTCCTCTGAGCTTGTTCAATGGTGCGGCCACTTCTGGCCACCATGTTTGGCTCTGCCCACAGGGAGCCACAGATCTAACCCCAGGTGAGTGTTCTGCTGAAGGCAGACAGGACTCCTTTGCTCTCATTCATTATATCTTCCTCTCCCACCGCCCCCAAGTCCCACATCTCTGTCTCTGCACTGCCTAATCACCCTCATTCAAACAGGGAACAAAATGGGGAATTCAAAAGTGCCACTGTATGTCTCATTCCCCTGACTCTTGTCCCATCAAAGAAAGCAGAGCCAGTCTCTTTTCTCATAAAACAGGCCCACAACTGAGCATGCTTTGGGGGCAGAGGATGGGCCTAGGCAGGGACACTCAGAGGATGTCTGCAAGGGAAAAGATGGTGACAAATGAAGAGTAAAGTGACACAGTGTATGGACATGGCATCAGCTTACAGATTTACGTCTTTATGGTCATGGTTTTAAGGTTTTAAAGAAGCTATTTCCCTGAACTCTCTAAGGAGGCAAAGGGAATGTTGTTTCTACTGCTTCCAACATTCTTGGAAAACATTTCTTTATTCAGCAGATCCCAAAGGCCAATCAAGCCTATCGGGGGCTTGGATCCAAATGAGAATTCTCATTCTACCGACAGGAACAAGCACCTATTCAATTCTAGGGCTTTTACTTTTCAACTTCACTGTCATTTTATCCTGAGGCTCCGAAGAGTGGGTCCTGCTCAGGTGACTCCTGATTCTGCCCCGTTGTTCAACAAGAAAGGAGCCTGGCACAAAGAACAGGCTAGAAAAGGAGAGTGGAGAGGGAGGGAGGGCGAGGGAAGGAAGAAGAGGAGCCAAGGGAGAAGGGAAGCAAGGTCACTGGTCATTCTCTTGCTTTCCACTTCGACTAGCACACTTTACCTTACCCATGCATTTCTGAGATGCTAATTAAAGGACATTTCCCAGAGTCGCAGCGTGCCAGATTAGGACAGCACGCTTCAACCAGAGTATGGTGGTTAATCTGCAAAGAGGCCATAGCTTCTCCCCAGGGGCACGGTTCTGAGTTTGGGCTTGAAGTCCTCTCTGCAGGTTTTTGCTCGTCTCTTCTCTCAGAAGGCAAATGCTATTTACACCCTGGGAGAGGAGGAACTGGCTTTACTTTGGAACCAGCCCTCGAGACTGTGGATAAAGCTGAGATGCAGGGGTTCCTGAGGAAGAGGAGGAGGATCCCGACTTCCTTCCGCTTTTAGGCCTGCAAGAGTCAAGCACATGTTTACACGTCATGTCCCATCTCTGTTGCTGACACAGATCATGTTCCTTTCTCAACAAGTACCCTTAGCCTTTCCTCAGTGGCCTGAAAGCCAGTATACTTTCAACTGTAAAACCACCAGACTGGCATAGCCTGATCCTCTGTGCATGGCTAACACAACCTGCCAACCCAGGCATGACACCTCAGGGAAGGAACCTGCTTCTCAGCCACTGTTCTTCCATTTAAATCAGATCTTGACTATCCTCTCTGAATTGGTAAAAAATACTGTTTGCATTCCATTTTTGGTTGTCACCTATTTGTTGTCCTTAAGTTTCTAATCCAAAGTTTAATAAGGCAGAGTTTCTAATTTAGCACCACATTAAGTACTTGATAATTTAATGGGTTATTTAAATGAGGTAAATTCAGCACTGAGGCACGGAGCCCGGGCTGTGGATTTAGACACACATAGGTTTGAACCCTGGCTCTGTACTTACTTCCTTAAACTTGGCTACTTTGTAAAATTCTGACTTAGTTTTCCAATCTATAAAATAGGATTACTGGTAATATTTACAAGTTTGTGTAGACATCATTAAGAGCATTTTTTTTAAAGCATTTAGAATTGCCTAGTACCTGGTAGGGACCAAAGAACTGTCCTTTATTTCACCAGAACATACACTCCTCATGATAGGACCCGGGGCACATCAAGCATTCCAGTGTTCACTAGATTTGACATGATGCCCAAGCCATAAATATTTGTGGAATATATGAATACACATAGGAGTAACATGGCAATACTTTCTGGTGTGTTCCGTAAAGTGTTGACAAAACTTTACCTTTATTTGTTCTTGTTCAAGCATGTTCTGTATAGCCATAGGTCATCAAAAGCCACTCACCTGGCCTTGGATTTCTTATTTGTAGTGCTTTCAAAGGATGATGCGTCCACCTGTATCTCATCTTCATCCTGCAGAGCCGCATCCAGTGCAGCCTGAACTTTGGGAGCAATGGCAGGGCCCTCGTAGTCTCTGGTGGTCCGGCTGGGCATGTCCAGCTCTAACAGCACGATGTTTTCTGCCTGCAGAAGCACAGCCATAACCAGCCAGGCTGGTCTCCAATCGATCAGACAGAGAGAACAAGCAGTCCTGACCCCCTCCAAAAAACAGAATTGCACATTTCTTGCTACTCAGAGCCTACCAAGAGCCTGTAGTGACACGGTTTTATAACTTTTTCCTGGTGAGGATACAGATGTTTTTATCTTTTCTCTTGGCTTTCTTCTATTTCCTTTTTTAAAAAAGTGGTTTTTTGTGTTGGTTTTTTTTAAAACAATGAACATATATTATACCCTGAGGGGAATAAGCAGGGGAAAATAATAAGTAGAACCCACTTACTGCAGTCAATGTGAAAACACAAAAAGATATAAATAAGAAGATATTAATCACTGACCATTTCACAACCTACAGCAGTTCTCATGAACCTTCTGGTGGCCAAGGGAAGGAGGCAGGTAGGGAGTACATATGTGGAAGGCATGTGGCAGTGTGTGTCTTGTAACCATATTTTATAAATCATACTGGGCCCTGCCTCATAACTGGCCTTGTGGCTGGATTTCTTCACTTGATAGCCTGTGGTGGGCCTTTCCCTGGATCCTACATACTGAGATGAGTAAGAAGACGGAGGAACAGCCATGGTACACATCTCCTCCATCAGCAACTCCCACCCAGTCAAGTCCAGAGGGGGCAGAAGGGTCACTGCAGGGAGAAGGTGGAGAGATGGAGTGGCTCCATCAATCAATTTTATATATTGAGATGCTGCCTAAAATTTTTCTTAATGGAGCGGGTCCACTGCTACAAACTTCTGAGAGCCATTGCTTTAAATTCTACCTTTGGATCAGGTTAGCCCCCTGGAAATCCACACATTTTGATTTGTAGGCTTTGAAATCACGTTTTTGTTTTGAGACATGAAATAATGGGCAAGAGATGCACCCTCTGAAACTTCAAGGAAAATGCTTCTGAGGACCCTGATACATTATTCACCTTCCACTACAGAAAGCGCCCCCTAATGTGATTTTTTTTGCTTTGTTTCCTTTATTTTAAATAACCCAGCACCAGGAAGAATAGCACCTGAGGGACTAATTAATCCCAATCTGCTCTCCTTTGGTGGCCAAGGAAGACTCAAAAACACATTAAATGTTTCACATGAGAATCTATCCTCAAAACAAAACAAAACAAAACAAAACCCAAACCCACAGATTCTCCACTAATATAAAATACAGATGAAGCGCCTGAGTGGCTCATTCAGTTGACTGTCTGCCTTCAGCTCAGGTCATGATCTCAGGGTCCTGGGATTGAGTCCCGAGTTGGGGTCCCTGTTCAGCAGGAAGTCTGCTTCTTCCTCTCACTCTGTCCGTGCCTCTCCACTCGTTCACATACACACTCTCTCTCTCAAATAAATAAATAAAATCTTTAACAAAAATAAATAAAATAAAATAAAATACAGATAAGCAAAAAGAAGGCAATTTAAACTGAGTGCAGTTCCATTAACCAGAGATAATCAGTTCACATTTTGATATATTTTGCAGCAGCTTTTTTAATTTCATATGTAAATGTCTAGTACCGATTGTTTTATAACTTAACAATATATTGTGTCTCCTGGTTCATCCACTTACCAGCTACCTACTAAGCCATAGGACCTGCTACACAGAGGAGGTAGGAAGGTTCAATTAGAGAAGCAATAAAGTGCTGAGTACATGCCTAGCATACAGCAAGTACTTATGAGTAGAAACTTGCACAGTATTATTATTGTAAAATATGTTTGGGTCAGTAGTCCTCAATTACATCACTTTAAATAATAACCTGACTGACCCACATTCCGTTAAATGGAAGTAGCCAAAGTTCTTTAACTTATATCCACCTCCTGTCATTACATGACTACATTCCCTCCAGCCTTCACACAGAGCCATTTTCAGGATTCATGTTGATGTTTACTAGTCATTATCAACAGTATATTTGTACCCTCCTCTTTCCTAGTCCTAATTTTCTAAATCTTATTCTATTTTACCTTATTTTTCATACTTATTTGTTCTTTTTGTTACTTAGTATATTTATTTCTTATTTTGTTATAATTATGTTAATATAAATGTCCTCAGGAACCTCTGGAAAGAGTCAAGATACGAACCCTGTAACTCTGCAGAATGGTGCCTGAGGGTTTATATAAATCTAAACTCCTTTTTTTTTTTTTTTTTTTTTTAAACTCCTTGAAAAGAGATAGGAGAGAAACACAAGGATGATCTTCTCACCCTATATCGGGCCTCTGGACGAATCATCATGGACATTCTTGCGTGTTGGCTCAATGGTCTCTTATACCCCACAGCTGAGACTGGCCGCTTCATCATCTGCTGATTCCTGGAAATGGACTGCAGTGGTTAAAGCCCTGGCTGGAGTGTGTTCCATAGTCCCAGGACCATCCTGTGGAACCATCTGTCAGAAGACACTGAGCCTATTTAAACAGAACCTAAACCTAGTAACTCCCTGGACTGAGGGCTGCCATGCAAATGGGTAAAGAACTGCTTATATTTTCTGTATGAGTCACATTCTTATTCAAATGTGAACATCATGCATCTCTTAAACTGGAAGGGATCAGAGTCCTCATCCAGTTCTTAGACGGCAGGCGCAAAGCTGAGCTGTTAATGTTCCCACCCCCACATCCTTGGCCGACCTTCTCCCGTTATTCCAGCAAGACCCAGACACAGACTGGAAATCCTCCTCCACGCTGTTTCAGATTGCCATACGATATGACACCCGTCTGGGTACTGCCCCTCCTTTGGCCTGGCATGCTTCATTTGACAGCTGAGTAGGCAAAAACGCAGGAACTTGGGAAAGGTTGTGAATTCACTGTGATAGTCTCCCAATTCCTAATAATACCATCCTACCATACCCCTTGGGCTAAGTCCAGCTTATCAACATTTTCCCCCCTCGTCCCCACCTTAAAATCAATAGTGACTTACTCCAGTCTGGTTATAGGATGTAATTTCCAATGATCTTCCTCTTCATCAAAGAAGGATCTATTCATAATTTTACTTTTTTCTTCCAAAGGGATGAAGTTTTCTATAATAAGATGCCTGTAAGAGCACACATACATGAGTGGACACAGGTGGAGAAAGAACAGAAGTGGAGTACTGTCTATCCTAGGCATGGGAGTCATTAGATGAGAGTCAAGCCACTCAGCAAACACTCACAGGGCAGGCACTAAGGGCCTACCATCAGACAGACAGCTAGGGTACAGACAGGAATGATACCTGGTCCTGCCTGAGATAGAGAAGTCAGCCCTCTTAGATACAACAGGTGCAGATGGTGGGCTGCTCTAGAACTAGGGAGGTCACTTCTGCCCAAGGAGGAGCAGCTTGAGGAGGTGAAGAGACTGAAGACAAGTGGCCAGGCTCACGCTGTACCAGAGTGAACATGTGCTAACAGAAGTGTCTTCTAGGGGCCCACTGGTACTGTCAACCCAGCATATGAACTTCCAAAATGCTGAAAATGGATTAGAAATTAAACGGCCTTCTTCTGATGCCATGGATTGTTGCCCAAGCTAGAAAACTTCTCACTCTCATCACCAGGACAAAGAGCAAGACTGAGTGGATTTCAGTCCCTCAGACCACTGAGAGTAAAGACCATTCTTGAGAAGAGTCTCAGCCTGAGAAGTGTTGGGGAACATAGCAAACAGTGAAACTGGAACCCACTGGGTTGTGTCTCTCCATAGTGATGACTGTCCCCTGCCACATCTCTGCCTTCATACTCTCAAAACCTCAGGACAGAACAATACCAAAGGGGTGTTAACGTGGGAAAGATACACAACACACACCACAGAGGTGTAGGGTACTGACCGTGAGAAAGAGGCTGACTCACTGTTTATTCAAAAGATATAAATAAGATATATAACAATGAAATGAAAAAGGCTTCCCTGGGGAAAAATATTTCAGAGAGATGGAATTTTCTATTTATTTTATTTGAAACATTTAAGAAATTATTTTTTATGACATATATTTGTTTTTTTCTGATTTTAAAAGTCCTATCTATACAGTAGGAAATGTGAAAAATACATCTACATATAATTTCACTAACCAGAGGTAGCTATTATTAATATTTTGACATATTTTGTTCTGATTTTTTTCTAGGTGCACATACCTAGAAAGAGGACACATTTAATTGTAAGAGCTCTTTCCAAATTTAAAACTTGGTTATTAAAGAATCCCTTTGAAAAGTTCTTTTCTTTTCTTTTCTTTCTTTCCTTTCTTTCTTTCTTTAAAATATTTTTATTTATTTATTCATGAGAGACACACAGAAAGAGAGTGAGAGGCAGAGACACAGGCAGAGGGAGAAGCAGGCTCCATGCAGGGAGCCCGACGTGGGACTCGATCCCAGGTCTCCAGGATCACGCCCTGGGCCAAAGGCAGGCGCTAAGCTGCTGAGCCACCCAGGGAAAAGCTCTTTAAAGAAAAATCCCAGCTAGGGGCACCTGTCATGCAACTCTTGATCTCGGGATTGTGAGTTCAAGCCCCACATGGGTATACAAAATCCTTTAAAAAAGAAAAGAAAAATCTCAGTTGTGGAAGGACTGATGGAGAAAAACAGTATTTTGCAACCCCTAATGAAAGAATCATTCCAGACAAATTGTTGCTGGTTGAAACCATTAACTCAACAGTTCTTAAGCCAGGCTGCATGTTAATATCACTTGCAAACTTAAAAAAATATCTTGTCCAGACCTCATGAGAGACCACTGGTTCTCAAAGTGTGTTCACAGAACCAACAGGAGGCAACAACTGGAACCTGATAGAAATGCAAATTCTCAGGCTCCATACCAGATGTACTGAATCAGACTCTCTGGTTATGGCATCCCACAATATATATTTAACAGGCCCTTCAGGTGATTTGGTACCTGCTAAAGTTTAAGGACCACTGCCCTAGACAAATTAAGTCAGAATCTTCAGGGTGAGGCCTTTTTAAAACACCTCATATAATTTCAGTATGCAGCGAAGGTTGAGAACCAGTGCTTCAGTGCTTGCTTTCATTTAAAATCCAGACTGAGGGCAACCTGGGTGGCTCAGCAGTTTAGTGCTGCCTTCAGCCCAGGGCTTGATCCTGGAGACCTCGGATCAAGCCCCACATCAGGCTCCCTGCATGGAGCCTGCTTCTCCCTCTGCCTGTGTCTCTGCGCCTCTCTCTCTCTCTCTCTCTCTGTCTCTCATGAATAAATAAATAAAATAGTAAAAAAAAAAAAAAATCCAGACTCAGATATTTCTATAGCCTGACCTGGCTTTTCAATAAGCCAACTGTGAAGAAAGTTTTAAAAAGAAAAGGGATTGCTTCAGATTAAAATAAGCTGAAGAGAAATAATAACCAAATGCAATATGTGGGCTTTATATAGATATTAATATGAACAAACCCATAAAATCTGAATATGGGCATGGCATGAGAGCACACTAAGAAACCAATGTTAGTTTTGTTAGGTGGAAAGATATCACTGTGTATACAAAAATCAATTGTATTTCTATACACTAGCAGTAAACATTCTGAAGATAAAATTAAGAAAAACAATTCCAGGGCAGCCCGGGTGGCTCAGCGGTTTAGCGCCGCCTTCAGCCCAGGGCTTGATCCTGGAGACCCGGGATCAAGTCCCACATCGGGCTCTATGCATGGAGCCTGCTTCTCCCTCTGTCTGTGTCTCTGCCTCTCTCTCTCTCTCTCTCTCTCTCTCTCTCTCTCTCTCTCTCTCTCTGTCATGAATAAATAAATAATAATATTTACTTTTTTAAATAATATTTTTTAAAAAGAAAAACAATTCCATATACAATAGCAAAAAAAATTTATTAGCTATATATTTAACAAAGGAAGTTTACGACTTATCCACTGAAAATTAAAAACATTCTTAACAGAAATTAAAGAAGATCTAAATAAATAAGACACCCCATATTCATGGATCAAAACACTTAACTGTTACGATAGTACTCTCTAAATGATCTATAGATTCAATGTAGTTCCTATCAATATCCCAGCTGGCTTTTTCACAGAAAAATTTACAAAGCCAATCTTAAAATGTGTACAGAAATGCAAGAAATCCTAAATAGTCAAAAACAGTCTTGAAAAAGAACACCAAAGTTGGAGGACTCATACTTCCTCATTTCAAACTTACTACACAGCTATAGTAATCAAGACAGTGCAGTATTGGCATAAAGACAAACAAATAGATAAGTGGAACAATATTGAAAATTCAGAAATAAACTCTTCCATTTATGATCAACTGATTCTCAATAAGGGTGCAAAGACACGGCAGCCTGGGTGGCTCAGTGGTTTAGCGCCACCTTCGGCCCAGGGCGTAATCCTAGAGACCCGGGACAGAGTCCCATGTCGGGCTCCCTGCATGGAGCCTGCTTCTCCCTCTGCCTGTGTCTCTACCTCTCTGTCTCTCTGTTTCTCATGAATAAATAAATAAAATCTTAAAAAAAGAAAAGAAGGGTGCAAAGACAATGAGAGAAGACCCTTTCAACAAATAGTGCTGGGACAACTGGATATCCACATGCAAAAGAATGCACTTGGAACCCTACTTCACACATACATATACAAAACTTAACTCAAAATGGATCATAGACCTAAATGTAAGATCTAAAACTTTAAGACTCTAAGATGACCTAAGAGAATTGAAAACATAAGTCCTTAATAAAACTTGTACACAAATGTTCACAGCGGTTATTATTCATAATAGCTAAAAACAAACAACCCAAAGCTCCACCAACTGATGAATGGGTACATAAAATGTGGTACATTCACACAATACAATATTATTCAACCATAAAAAATAATGAAATATTGATATGTGCTACAATATGTATGATCCTTGAAAACACTATACTAAGTGAAAGAAGCCAGCCACAAATGGCCACACTATTCCATTATAAATTGATATGTAATATCCAGAATAGGAAAATTTAGACACAATACCAACAAAATATATAGATAAGTTGGACTATATCAGAATTAAAATCTTTTGTGCTGCAAACAAAATACCATAAAGTGAAAAGACAACCCATAGAATGCAAGAAAATATCTACAAATCATATATCTGATAAGGGACTTGTCTCCAGAATATAGGAAGAACTCTTACAGCTCAATAACAAAAAGACCCAATAAATTACCCAACTTTAAAATGGGCAAAGGATTTAAACAGACACTTCTCCAAAGAAGATATGCAAATGGACAAAGAGCACATGAAAAGACATTCCATATCATTTGTCATTAGAGAAATGTAAATCAAAACCTCAATGAGATACTATTTCACACCAATTAGGATAGCTATAATAAAAAGGATAGACAGTAACAATTGTCAACAGGATGTGGGAAAATTGGTGGTGAAAATGGAAAATGAAAAAAAAAAGAAAAAAAAGAAAAAAAAGAAAAATGAAAATGAAAAAAGAAAAGAAAATGGAAAATGATGCAGCCATTCTGGAAAACCATTTGGCAGTTCCTCCAAATGTTAAACACAGAGTTACCATATGACTTAAGCAATTCCACTCCTAGGTATATATCCCAGAAAAATGAAAACATGTTCATATAAAAAGTTGTACATGAATGTTCACAGCAGCATTATTCATAATAGCCAAAAACTGGAAACAACTCAAATGTCCATAAACTGATAAACAAACAAAATGTGTGATATATCCATACAATCCAATATCATTCAGCCATAAAAAAGAATGAAGTCCTGACATGCTACAACATGAATGATCCTTGAAAGCATCATGTTAAGTGAAGGAAACCAGTCATAGAAGGCCACTGATTATAAGATTCCATTTATATGAAATGTTCAGAATATACAAACTTACAGAGACAGAAAGTAGATTAGTAGGTACTTAGGGCTGGAGGGCGGCAAGTAATAAGGAATGACTGCTAACTGGTATAGGATTTCCTTGGAGGGGGAGGGGGACCCAAAAAACGTTTTAAAATCAGATTGTGGTGATGATTTTACAACCCTGTAAATATATATTTTTTAAATGATTTGTATTCTTTCTTTTATTCTTTATTTATTTATTGGGGGGGGGGGCGTTGAGGGAAGGGGCAGAGGGAGAGAGAATCTTAAGCAGGCTTCATGCCTAGCACAGAGCCCAACGCGGGGCTTGAGCTCACAATCCTGAGATTATGACCTGAGCCGAAATCAAGAGTTGGATGATTAACTGAGCCACCCAGGCGCCTCCTGACTTGTATACTAATTTAAATAGGTGAATCAGGGCAGCCCTAGTGGCTCAGTGGTTTGAAGCCGCCTTCAGCCCAGGGCCTGATCCTGGAGACCTGGGATCAAGTCCCACATCAGGCTCCCTGCATGGAGCCTTCTTCTCCCTCTGCCTGTGTCTCTGCCTCTCTCTCTCTCTCTCATAAATAAATAAAATATTTTTTTAAATAGGTGAATCATACACTATGTGAATTATACCTCAGTAAAGCATTTTTTTAAAACAGCATCATGATCATGTATGTAGGTATGCAGGAGTGAGAATAACAGGAAGTTAATGTTACATGAGGCTTTAGAATATTTCTATGAGAGATAAATGACAAAAGATTGTTTATAATGAATCTGGGTGGTGGGTGTTCATTATACCATTCAGAAAACTCTAGTTAATAAAAGATTCCCCCTTCTCAACAGAGGCTGGAGCCTTTAAAAACTTCAAGCAGGTAAGGGTGGAAAAAAACTTGGAGATCATCTGGTGAAGTCATTCACCTAACAGATGGGATGCGGAGACAGAAAGTGACTCTCTCCAGAATAAACAGAAAACAGACAAGGCGGCAGAACATGAGTTGGGGAGAAGTAGGCAGGGGCCCTGTCTTCAAGACATGTTTCTTACTCAACAAACCTGCAAGTGGCTGGAGGTGCCACAAAGGGCCCAGAACTTACTTAAGTTTCAGCTCCCTTGTGAGTTCGTTCTGAGTCTGCTCCAGCTCTTGGCGCTCCTTGATGTGCTCCTCTTGGAGGTCATGGATCTCTGCCTTCACTGCCTGAAGCTTGGAGAAGAGCTAGGACCAAGGGGAGAGGTGGGTGAGGAGGGGAGCCCTCCCAACAACAGAGTTCTGCCCTTCCCCCAAGCCACAAGACACCTCTGCCTGGCCTCATTCCTTTATACCTTCTTGAGTTTTTTGGTCTTGATGTCCACCTCTTGCTGCAATGAGCTGTATGTCTCTTTAAGTTCCAAGGTCTCCTCATCTCTGCTTTCCATCTGTTGCTGGATTTCTCTTTCTCGACGTTTCTGAGTAACATCACAAAATTCATCAGCTTGCCTTGAGACAGTGTCTATATAAGAATACAGGGCTGGGTGCTCCAGATCAGTCTCTCACTAGGAAGGGGCTGAACACCTCGTTTTCATTCCTTCTGAAGAATCTAATACAAGAAGGGTCCCTGGAGGCCCAGTCGGTTGAGTATCTGCCTTTGACTCAGGTCATGATCTCAGGGTCCTATGACAGAGTCTCACATTGGGTGCCCTGCTCAGCGGGGAGCCTGCTTCTCCCTCTGCCTCTCCCCCTGCTCATGCTCTCTCTTGCTTGCTCTCCCTCTCTCAAATAAATAAAATCTTTACAAAGAAAGAAAGCCTCTAATACAAGAGATACTTGCTCTGTGGCATTAGTGCACCTCATCCCAGCCCGTTCTCCTGAGGAGGGAATGAAGAGATACCTGCTCTGCGATTTCCTGCCGTTTCTGCTCCAGGATTTTCTGCTGTTCGTTTGTGTGATCTACTATATTTTTTCCTCCGACCAGTAGCTTACTCTCCATGGCCTGAGTGAGAAAAAAGTAGAATCCATCTCATGAATGACCTCTCTCAGAATATATCTCCTCATGGGGCAGCCTGTAAAACATAAGGAGCTCGGGACTAAGCCAAAGGGGTGAACTCTGGGGGAAAACAGATTGTGCTCAGCAGCGTCCTTACCATCACAGGGGTGGGGTTGAGGTGGCTCCACTGGGGCTTTACCTTAGAAACACTGAAGATACAGCTTCTCCAGGCAGAGAGGAATTTCAGCTTTCTTTTCTTTTTTTTTTTTTTCCAGCTTTCTTTTAAAATAATTTTTTTTTCTTTTTGGTTTTGGTAAGTATCGACCCTACTTAAAACCTATGGAGTACCTCCTATGTGCTGGGTGCTAGAGATGCAATTGAATACAAATCACAAAGCTGAAGAGTCCACTGAGGGCCATAGACAAGTAAGCAGGTTCTTACCCTATGGAGTCAGAGACCATCAGGAGGAAAAGAGTAATATGGGAGAGGCATAGGGGAGGAAGAGAATCCAGGCTTTTGGAGGAAATTGAGAAAAGCTTCCCATCTCAAGCGTGCTGAAGTAAAAATAGGAATTAGCTAAGAGAAAAAAATGCAGGGGTGGCTCAGTTGGTTAAGCATTTGACTCACAATGTCAACTCAGGTCACAATCTCAGGGTCACAGGATTAAGTGCCATGCTGGGCTCCTCATTCAGCAAGGAGTCTACTTGAGATTCACTCTCTCCTTCCCCCTCTGCCCCTCCTCCTGATCACACATGCCCTGTCTCTCTCTCTCAAATAAATAAAATCTTTAAAAAAAAAAAACATCATGTGTGAGAGGGTAGGGTAGGAAGTGGTGATGCATGAAGTTGGCAAAGCAATCAAGGGTCAATCTAAAAACATCAAAGCCCTGTTAAGAGAGACTGAAATTGATCCTGAGAACCATAGGGATCACAATGACTGTTGTTGGAGCATAGGGTACATGGTCAGATTTGTGTTTTAGAAACATTCTTCTCCCACCACAGGAAGAATAACTGGAAAAGGGCAGGCCGGGTGGAGGGAGACCAGCCAGGAGGCTGTTTTGAGGATCCAGGCCTGGGTTGGGGCAGTAATGGTGGGAGAGAGCAAAGTGTTTGGGTGCAAGAGATCTGATCCGATGGCACAGGATTCAGAGGCCTTGGGACTGACCGGGCTATAAGGGGGAGGAAGGGACAGCTAGCAGGGATAATTCCTAGGGGGTCTGGCTTGACTGAGAAAAGGCAGGCAGGAACAGGTTCTGGGTGGCCGTGGCCATCTCTGGAAATGTCCAATAGGCAGAGACTATTTAGGCTAGAAAGTTAGGAGACAGCTCTGAACTGGCTCAACAGATGGGACACCTTGAGCATTCAGATGATAACAAAAGCCATTGGAAGGATTTGCACCTGAAAAACACAAAATCAAGGGGTGTCGAGGTGGCTTTGTTGGTTAAGCACCTGCCTTCAGCTCAGGTCGTGATCCCAGGGTCCTGGGATACAGTCCCACATGGGGCTCCCTGCTCATCAGGGAGTCTGTTCCTCCCACTGCCCTTCACCTCTCTTGTGCACTCTCTCTCTCTCTCACTTACTCTCTCAAATAAATAAATAAAATCTTAAAAAAGAAAAACACAAAATCCAAAAACTCCATAACCTTGCTTTTAAGAAACTTTAAAAATTAACAGTATCCCTGCTGCCATCTTTCAGCGAACCCTTGGGTCTGTTTCCTCTTCTTTCAAAATGATGTGGTTGGACTGGATTACTAAACTGCCCTCACCCCCCCACACACACACTCCTTCCAGCTCTAAAATACTTTTGTCCTATGATTTTACAGCATCCAGAGATTTCGAGAAACAGAAGTAATATCATTCTCCCATAAACAAAATGTCTTAAGAGATTCAGTAACTTTGAGGTAATACTGAGTCCTGCCCCACTTGGCCTCCAAGAGTTGCCCAAATAACCCAGTCTGTTTAGAGAGTCTGGGTATTCCTGGGCTTGAATAACAGACATGATCCTAAAAAGCAGCATGTGCATCAAACATGGGCATACCCATTACACTTCAAGTGCAGAAATAAGGAGGGGAGGAAGTGGCATCTGACATTAAGGAATCCCACAATAAGCCCCTCGCTGGAACAAAGTGACCTCCTAATTGTGTTGTATAGGACTCCATTTTCACATCAGGTCTTTAAAGCTCTGGAAAGGACTCCTGCCTCTGAAGTAATATAGAAACTGGCTCTGTGAAAGAGCTACTATGGAGTCACAGATAAAGGACAGCTTCATACAGTGGGGAAAGGGGAGGCAACAAAGAACTCACTGGTCATTTTTAAATTAATAAACAAGGATACATTTGAGAGTTGAAATCAGAGTTCACATAAATTCACTAGGAAATAACCCAAAACCTCAGAGCCGTTCTGGCTTGTGGTCAGGCAGCAGTCATCCTCAGATTTCCAGGGCTAGCTCTGTCCTCTCCTCTGCCAGTAAAGCCCTGTGACAGCCCCGAGTCCAGACACCTGATAGAATAGCATACTGGCACCAGAAGGAAAATATACAGGAGTCTCCACGCTCTAGAATGTTAGTCAGCCACTGTCTCACAGGGGTTGGAAGTTGAGGGAGGGGGTTGACTGACTATAAGGGAGCATTTGGGGGGTGATGGAATTGTTCTGTATCTTGTATGGTTGGGGCACTGCATATTAGAATCACAATGAGGGATGCCTGGATGGCTCAGTCAGTTAAGCATCTGACTCACGATCTCAACTCAGGTCTTGATCTCAGGGTGGTGAGTTCAAACAAACATGCACAAAACCCCAACATGAGATGCCATTTTATATACATCAGACATAGGAAAATTAAGGCAAGGGCGCCTGGGGGGCTCAGTCAGGTAAGTGTCTGCCTTCAGCTTGGGTCATGGGATTGAATCCCACAGTGAGCTCCCTGCTCAGCGGGGAGCCTGCTTCTCCCTCTCTTCCCCACTTGTGCTCTCTGCTGCTGTCTCTGTCTCTCAAATAAATAAAATGAATGAATGAAAGAAAGAAAGAAAGAAAGAAAGAAAGAAAGAAAGAAAGAAAGAAGAAAGAAAATTAAGGCAGATAGTCACAAGTGGTTGTTAAGGACAAGGAGCAATCAGAGTTCACACCGTGTAGAAGCTTCAATTCACATGGCCACCTCCAAAAACAACTTTTGATTATCTAATAAAATTGGGCTGCATGTACCCAAGGACCTAATGGCACCAGGTAAGAAATTCTTGCTCATATATATGTTCTCTTGGAGCCAAGCACAAAAACACCCATAACAAAAAAATGGAAATAACCCACTATGAGGAGAATGGAATACCACACACTTCTCAGAGCAGTAATAATGAATGAGTCACAGCGACAAGCATCAATATGGACAAATCTCATTACATAAAGTTGATCAAGCAAACCGCAGCAGTGAGATTCCATTTATAAAGAGGTACAAAATGATGTGAAATGAAATCTATCTTTTTCTAGAGACATAGACATATATGAAAAAACTATAAAGAAAAGTCAGGAAACAATAAGCACCAAATCCAAAACAAGGGCTACCCTGTGGGGGAGGAGGGCACAAAGAGCTTATTAAGATATGGATTACATCCTACTTCTCACACTGGCTGGGGGACCCATGGGCGTCGGTGTTGTTGCTGCTTTTTACACCTTGCCTGTAGGTAAACATTATTCCTCCTACAAGTTCAGTATAAACTTGAAGAAATGATTTTTATGTCAACTTGACAAATGTTTACTGGACACTGGACCCCATGGAGCTGTTGGGAATGTAATACTTGAAAGGAACATCATCCCTCATGCCATTTTTTGGATAAAACAGAAAGCACCAAAAGAAAGGGCCTGGGGAAGGGTGTGGTACCTTGATTTTGGCACCCAGCATCTCAGCAGCATCCTTCTCCCGCCGCAGGTCCTCCATCTTCTTCTCCTTCTCCTTCAGCAGCCTCATCTTCTCCTCTGCAACCAAGCTGTGGTCCTCTACAATGGCCCGCTTCTCAATCTCCAGTTTTTCTTGCTGTTCCCGCCAGTAATCATCCTTATCATCCCCTTCCTCCTCACCCTCTTCTCCCTCCTCCTCCTCCTCCTCCCCGCCCCCACCACTGCCACCACCTTCCCTCCGCTTCTCTCGCCTCTTCCTCCTGCCAATGGATCGTTTTTCCAGCTGGGCCTTGAGCCGAGCAATCTCCTCCTGGAATTCTCGAAGGAGGGCATCTTTTGGGTCCTCATTGACCCTTGGCTTGTTCTTAATGTTTTTGGCACGGTTGGCATATCTCAGAGTGGTCAGAGTCTCTTCTACATTGTATGAGGCAGGTCCCACGTTGGCTACCATCACAGTTTTAGCATTGCCACCAAGAGAATCTTGGAGGAGCCTGGTCAGCTTTGAGTCCCGATAAGGAATGTGAGTGCTTTTGCCGTCCACCAGGGCAGAGATGACATTACCTAAGGCTGAGAGGGACAGATTGATCTTGGTCGCTTCCTTGAGTCTCTCTCCTTGTGCACCAGTCTTGGCTTGCCGTTCGCTGCCAGCGAGATCCACAAGGTTCAATTTCCCTACACGGATATGATTTTCCCCATCAAGGCCCACCTCACTGCACTCAATGGTGATCACAAAAATTGCATGAGAGCGTGAGCTGTGCTCGTTCATGTTGGTAGCACCAACCGAGCGGTTCTGGTTCCCCACGTTCATCACATGCTCTATTTCCTTCACACTCTTGGTGACAAAGGAGGACAGGTCTTTCACATACACTCCAGTGTCAGGCCTCTCTTTGAGCTCAAGCCTTTTGGTCTGATCCTTTGAGAGCAGATCTCGGATCTCTTCCTGGTAGATCTCTAAGTAAGAAGCCCTGACAAGGTACTGTTGATTCTGGGATCGAGAGATATGGGTGAAGATGTGGTCAAATGAGTTAGGGATGACTCCTCTTTTCTCAGGGTCACCACGGACTCCTTCCATCGTGTAGGTTTTCCCAGTCCCAGTTTGTCCATAGGCAAAAATTGTCCCATTGAAACCCTGCAGGACAGAGTCCACAAGTGGTCGGAACGTCTCATCGTAGAGTTCAAACTGCTTGGCATTCCAGTCGTACACTGCATCAAAGGTGAAGGTCTTGGGCATTTCATGGGCCACTCCTTTGGGGTTCTTCACTGACACCTGCCCCAGCTTCACATCCACATCTACCACCTTATCATATGAAGCAGCCTTTTCCTTGCCATTCATGGGCCGACAGCGAACCACCACCCTGACTGACTCTGAGCTTTTTAACTTTGACATGATGAACTCTGACCGGGTCAACCTTGAGGGCTAGGAATCCAAAATGTCTCAGGATGCTAAGGTCCTAGAAAAAAAGCAAAAGTAAGTAAGGACAGTACAGTTGTTACTGAGGACTGTCACCTTCATCTTGCTAACCTTCTGACAGCTACATTTACTGTAATACACACTGTATTTCTTCACAGGATCTTAATGAGCTTCAGTGGGAAAAGTAAAAACTTTAGTCCACCAGTAGTGTGAATGAGCTTGTCCTCCCTTTGACTGATACTTTATCTTAGATTCCAGGTTGCAGCAGCTAGAAATCTTGTAAAAGCCTGGATAGCCTTATGTCCTGTTGAACTACTACAACCTCTTCAGAGAGCAATGTGGAACTATCTAGCAATACCTTTTGATGTAGCATTTGTATTTCTAAGAATTTATCCAACAGATAGAAGGATACTCGTTGTGGCATCATTTGTGGTAGCAACAGACTGTGGACCACCCCAATTCCCATCAAGAGGGGCTTGACTGAATAAATTAAATATATATGTAAAAACACATATATAGTGGAATCCTGTGCATTTACTGAAAAGAATGTGCTTGCTAGTCTAATTGTAACCCTCAGGGCACCTAGGTGGCTCAGTCAGCGAAGCATCTGCCTTAGGCTCAGGTCATGATCCCAGGGTTCTGGGATTGAGCCCCGAGTCTGGCTCTCGGCTTTGCAAGGAGCCTGCTTCTCCCTCTGCCTCTGCCTGCCACTCCCTCTGCTTGTACTCACACACTTGCACGCTCTCTGAAATCTTTTAAAAAATAAAAATAAATAAATGTAACTCTATATTAAGATATACTGCTACATGAAAAAAGTAGATGAGGAACAGGGTGTATAGTACTGTTAGCATGGTGCATGGGGCAGCCCCGGTGGCGCAGTGGTTTAGCGCCGCCTGCAGCCCAGGGTGTGATCCTGGAGACCCAGGATCGAGTCCCGCATCAGGTTCCCTGTATGAAGCCTGCTTCTCCCTCTGCCTGTGTTTCTGCCTCTCTCTCTCTGTGTGTCTCTATGAATAAATAAATAAAATCTTAAAAAAAAAAAAAGCTGGTGAAGCCAAAGCTCAGAATTAAAAAAAAAAAAAAACCATGGTGCATAAGCTGGGGAATATATGCATATATGTTTATGTTTGATATGCAAAACAATATTATTAGAAGTATGCATATAAAAGTGGTACCAGTGGCAGTCTCAGCAGGGAAACTGTGGGCCTAGAGGATTCTCAGGTCAAGAGAGAGAAAATGTCACTGTACACTCATTTGTACTGTCTGGATTTCCTATCTTGTGCCAACAAGACTCTTCTATTCTAAAATCATAAACTATGGCTTGTGCAAAATGCATGCAAATAATTGAGGATGTGGTGTAATACATTACACAGAAAGCACCTATGCAACCAACAAATTGAATACAACTTGAATTCAAATAAGAAATAGGTGTTAGGGACGCCTGGGTGGCTCAGTGGTTGAGCATCTGCCTTTGGCTCAGGGCATGATCCTGGAGTCCCCAGATCGAGTCCCATGTCAGGTTGCCTGCATGGAGCCCGCTTCTCTCTCTGCCTGTGTCTCTGCCTCCTCTCTCTGTGTCTCATGAATAAATAAAATCTTAAAAAAAAAAAAAAGAAAGAAAGAAAGAAAATAGGTGTTCTTTTTTTTTTTTTTTTTTTTTAAGTAGAGGCACCTGCGTGGCTGTTGGTCTTAAGCAACTGACTCTTGATTTCAGCTCAGGTAGTAATCTCAGGGTTGTGAGATCAAGCCTCATGTGGGGCTCTCTGTGCTAAGCATGGAGTCTGCTGGAGAATCTCTCTCCTCTCCTTCTGTCCTCCCCCACCCCTAAAATAAACAAATAAATCTTTAAAAGAAAAAAAAATTTTTTTTTTAATTTTTATTTATGATAGTCACAGAGAGAGAGAGACACGCAGAGACATAGGCAGAGGGAGAAGCAGGCTCCATGCACCGGGAGCCCGACGTGGGACTCGATCCCGGGTCTCCAGGATCGCGCCCTGGGCCAAAGGCAGGCGCCAAACCGCTGCGCCACCCAGGGATCCCAAGAAAAATTTTTTTAAGTAAAAACAAAAATGATAACTTCATTTGGTGCTGGAAAACTCAGGGAGCAGAAGAAAGGATGATTAAATGGGTCCTTTGGGAAGGGGTAGCAAGCAAGCAGATCAGAGTGAAGAAGAGGTACATATGAGGACCCCAAATTCTTAAAACCCTCAGTGTGGGGCATTTTTTGTTTTTTAACAGATAATTTGCCTGCTTCTCAATTCAGTGACCTCTTTAGCGACAAGTCCCTCTCCTTCACGTGTTCTCTAGCCACTTAGGTCCCTGTCCACGAGGCAAGCATTATTAGATTTTTAATCTTCCTGAGCTAGTTCACGCATAGCAAGCAAATACGTACTAATACATACTTACCCCTTCCTTTTTAACACAAACATAGAATGTTATACTCAGTAATAACACAGTGTCCTGCATATTGCTTTTCCTCACTAGACAACATATCTTGGAATTTGTTTCCTCAATAAATATATAGCTACCTTATTCTTTGACAGCAGCAAAATATTCCATTGCATGGAAGTGTCATAATTTAACCACAATCTTAGCACTTAAGCTGTTTCTGATATTTTACTGTGAAAAAAACTAGGTCCACATCCTTTCACGTGTGGGAAAATATACCTATAAGATAAATTTCTAAATGTACAACTGCTGGTTCACAGGATAGATGCATTTGTGATTTTAATAAACACTCAGGACAGTGCTAACAATTTCTATTATTTATTTATTTATTTATTTATTTATTTATTTATTTATTTATTTATTTATAACAATTTCTTTTTAGTTTTGAGGGTGACCTATTCCCTGCCAACAAAGGAATGGAAGAATGAGAGGCAGTGACAGGCCAGTCTATGGCTTTTGTGTTGTAGGTTAATAAAAATAGTCAATATATTCCCCCATTAAACTTTTATTAAAAATCCTGCTGCTGCTAAGCACATGGACACATGAAAAGTTACTTTCTATACTTCTCTAGTTGTTATAGGTAATAAAATAATGTCTACAATAAAGAGCTAGGGCAGCCCCGGTGGCGCAGGGGTTTGGCACCGCCTGCAGCCTGGGGTGTGATCCTGGAGATCCGGGATCGAGTCCCACATTGGGCTCCCTGCATGGAGCCTGCTTCTCCCTCTCCCTCTGCCTGTGTCTCTGCCTCTCTCTGTGTGTCTATGAATAAAAATCTTTAAAAAAAAAAAAAAAGACCCATCTTTAAAAAAAAAAAATAGAATAAACAGTTAGAAGACCTCTAACCCTCCTGGAACCCATTTTCTGTAAAATTGGTAAAACAGGGATAATTCTCCTTCCTTATGGATGATTGTGAGACTCAGGTACTTACAAAGGTGGAAATACTTTATGAACTAATATAAAGGTGGATTAAAATGAACTGATACAGATTCATCCAAAACCCTCGCCAAAGGGTCATTCCAGAGATTATTGGTGAGTCCTTTTATTCTCTTGTTCAGTTTGTAGTTGTCATCCTAAAAAAATCGATTAAACTGAGACCCAAATACCTAATCAGTGTTCAATTAGAAATGAAGCTCAAGCCATTTAAGGACAACCATGTAAAAGAGAGTCCCTCATTCCTCACCTTCAACATGCTATTATAATTTTAACTAATGATAAGAAAGAACGAGATGTTAGAATGGCCAGTCTGTTTACTGTGTCTCCCTTTCTCTTCTGGGGCAACGGCCCCCAGGCTACTACTGCAGTCGATCCCTTGCCTATCTCTACCTCCAAGTCAGCAGAGACCTGCAAAAGCTGTCCAGGTGCCAGGCTCAAACCCCAGCCCCCTGAGCCTCCTGTGGGGAGGCCTCTGCTGTTGCGCATGGGATGGTTTACACAAAGTCCTAGACCCAGTGTAAGAAATGTAAGGGGTGGGGGGGATCCCTGGGTGGCGCAGCGGTTTAGCGCCTGCCTTTGGCCCAGGGCGCGATCCTGGAGACCCGGGATTGAATCCCATGTCGGGCTCCCGGTGCATGGAGCCTGCTTCTCCCTCTGCCTGTGTCTCTGCCTCTCTCTCTCTCTCTCTGTGTGTGACTATCATAAATAAATAAAAAATTTAAAAAAAAAAGAAATGTAAGGGGTGTGAATGAGGGGATGCTTGGCTGGCTCAGCTGGTAGAGTGTGCAACTCTTGATCTCAGGGTCATGAATTTGAGCCCCACTTTGGGTGGAGATTACTTAAATAAATAAAACTTAAAAGAAAAAAAAAGAAAGAAATGTGAGGGGGTTAAGTGGAGAATGTGTCAGTGGAGAGACCAATTTTTCTGCATCGCACACCCCTGAAGAGGCAGTTTTTACCTATCAAAACACCCAAGCTTGTTTAAAAAAAAAAAAAAAAACCTGCAGCAGGGTGACCTTGACATTCAGCTGCTTGTGTTAGGGCACCGTATGTTTTTTTGAGCTCTCCAAAACGATAAAAACAAAGGAATGATAATGACCTACAATCATGTTTAAAATGTTTTAAAAAGAAAGAATTCCCAAAGCCTGCGTCCCCTTAATTAAATCTCAACTCAGAACACAGAACACCATTTCTTTTCAGAGCTCACTGAGCTCCACTGCACTAGTCATGTATTATTGACGTAGTGCTTCAGGAAGATGGGCTAATTTAATTTCCTGCCACCGGGGCTTAAAAACTTGCTCTGGGTCCTCCTCAAAGGAGAGGGTTTTCTTGGAAGGATGCCCTGACACTCTTTCTTTACTTTATTACCTTCCTTACTCTCCTTCTAGCAGGTCTAATTACAGTGATAAATCTTTAAAGGAACTCACAGTATTGCCAGGAAAAAAGCAACCACAGGTCAGCAGCTCGTCACCTTCATCCTGAATACCTTTTCTGTGAGAACCTGTCATTCCAACAACCACTGTTTGGCCATTACACATGAAAAACCGAGTTTCTCCCCAACTTCACCTCTTTTGTCCACTGAAGAAGTCAGTTACACATTTCTCATGGCAATGACACTCTTCCAGATCATTCTCCAGCTCTTATATTTGGATTAATGCA